TTTGAAAAGCCACTAGTAATCCATCATTACTGCATAGAAAAGACAAGTGGATAATACGTAAGCAATTGCAGACAATAAATTGTGATTAATATGTAATTAAGTTGATGAAACTTGATCACTTCTTTGTTTAATCAATTTAATGAGAATCACACATTTTTTCACTAATCACAAAAACTTCTCTCTGAAATAACCTCCATTAATCATTTTAATAAGAGCATACGTGGAGATCCAATCATTGCTCGTGGACCAATATTAGAGGAACGACACTTGACGTTCTAAAGATCTCTAATTGAAGAAAGAAGTGCCCTCTTACTTTGTGGAAATCACGCATCGAGGATATGATATACTACTTTATGTGATTCGTGTAATTTATATGCATGAGATCCTGTTAGTTGGTAAGAAATTGTTTCTTAAAATTCCGCTAACTGCATCTAATTTCACCTTGTACAATTGCAAAAAAAAACCACAAGAATTTGTTCCCCCACCCCCCTCACAACAGTGAAGTACCCTAACGAACCCATAATGACAACAGTCTTGTACCCTAAAGGTACAACATTTTCTTTTTAAGGTACAACGTTGCATTACACGAGTGATGTTTGTTAACGGTTTTGTTGTGTCACCTATGTAGCGTGCTTTGTGTTTATTAGTGGTAATATGAAGTTTATTGTATGACGTTTAAACTTTTTTACAAAAAGTAATACAAGGATACTTTAGTGTTTTAGATAGCACTCTAAGGGATGTAATTACTTTAAATTCAGTTAGTAATTTTAAATAATTGCTCTAATTTTATAAATTAGTCTTTCTTAAGTGATCTTTGTTTAATTAATTATTTTCTAAAGCTAATTGTGTTTTCTTCAGAATTTTAGGCCATGCCTGGATTGAGTTGAATTGGGGATGAAAAATTAAAAACGATCTTTCTTAAGTGGTCTCTCTCTTTTTCTTAAGTGATCTTTGTTCGTGATCTTTACTCATCCATTCGTGATCTTAGTTTTTTTTTTTAACATAAAAAAAAACAGTCGTTTTAAGGTACGTGTTTAAGTTCCATCAGTTATAATCGTTCACTTACCACAATTGCATTACCAACACTACAGATACAATTTACAAGTGGGTGTGTGTCATGTTTGAAAAATATGGGCGTGGTAAAAGGACGATTCAAAATCGTGAAGATTTGGCTAAAATGATACTTGACAATGACGACACAATGACAATGACCCACTTTCTGAAATGCGAATATTTTTGACAAGTTGACAATGACCTTACACTAGGGCTGAGCAAAACTATCTGAAAATCCGAAAGTCCAATGATCCGATCCGAAAATTATGGATATCCGATCCGAATTTGATTTCGGATCGGATATCCGATCTGGATTTTTCGGATATCGGATTAGATATCGGATATCAAAATTTTAGATTTCGGATCCCCGATATCCGAAAAAAAGTCGGATATCGGATATCCGATCCGATATCCGAAAAATCACTTGTTCTCCTAAATTTGGATGAAGAAACAAATGGGCTAAGCCCAAAGGTAATCTAACCTAAACTCCCTATCAGCAGCCGCACTATATATATTACATATTTACATCCACCTTCACCCAAACTCAGTAACTCACCAATCCTCCCAAATTCCTAATCTACAATCGTGAATCGTCTTCTTCAACTATAGACATACAGTAGCTCATCTCTTTTTCAATCAATAATCAATTTGATAATCTCTTGTTAGTTTTACATGATATCTCATCTAAATATCTAATTTATTGTTCGAATTTTCTGAGCATCTCTCTTATTTTCTTCCTGGATATGGCATACGGGTAGTGTTTCGGGGTTCGTGGAGGGGTGGGGTGGGATGGGTGTTTCGGGTCTGGTGGAGGGCTAAGGTGGGGGTAGGGGTATCAGGCTGGTGGTGGGGTGGGTAGCGGTGGGGTTTGGCTCGATCCCGGGTTGGACCGTAGCTGCGCGGAGGGGTATGGTTGAGGTTAGTGTGTGGTAGAGTTGTGGTTGGTGCGGTGGAGTTAGTTCGGGGTATAAGGTGGTTATGAGGGTGGTGGCCATGGATTTGAAGCCATTAAAGGACAGTAAGATGAGGGAAGGGAAGAGGAGAGGAAGAGAGAGAAAGAGGTTTTTTTTTTTAATTTTTTATACAGAGATTTTTTCACAAATTTTTCTGTGAATTAATTGATTAAAACATTTTTCCTGATACATTATGCTCTTATACGAAAAAAAAAAAAGTTGCAAATAACTAAAATATACATATAAATTGGCCTTTTAAAAAAATAATTTTGCCTTTTATTAATATAAAATAATTAATATAAAATAATTGATATTAAATTATTAATAAAAAGAATCGGATACCGGATATCCAAAATATCCGATCCGAAAATTTCGGATATCCGAAACATTTCGGATCGGATACGGATATTAAATTTGCAAATTTTCGGATTCAAATATCCGATCTGAAATTGGATATCGGATCGGATATCCGATTCGTGATCAGGCCTACCTTACACTGCCAGAGTTCATGGGAAATAAGTGAATATTTGCACCGATGTGCTACTTTGCTATTTCGCAGTGAAATGGTCATAAAGTGTTGGAGGACATATAGTTTCTTCATCATTCCTCTCTACTTAATCTCCCAAATTTTTTTCCCCATTTAAATTCGGAATTACCAAAAACAAAAATGTCTGAACCTAATAATCAAGCATTGTCACCTTTAATTGTTAATCCGTTTTAGTTAATCCATTTTTCTGAATTGTACTGTAATATTATCAACATTTCCTTCTTTTTTTTAAAAAAAATACGTATAACTATACTATAAATTTATTGTAATAATTTGATTAACATTAATGTTTGTGAATTTCGAAGTACTGTCTTTTGTTTATTTCTGATTTATTTTCCCCAATATTCCAGAATTTTTCCTGATAATCGGATTGTACAGCACAACCTTTCAGAGATAAGAAAAATCGGTAAACCTTGCTGTGATGTTTGTAAAATCACCTGCACAAGCAATGATTGTCTTAAAATGCATTTGGGGGGAAAGAAACACCAAAAGAGCTTACGAAAGCTCCAGAACCCGATTCCCTTATTTACTCCAACCAAAGATGCTGCTAAAACACCAGTTCTAGTGAGTAACAATGCACAACACAACCTTTCAAAAAAAAGAAAAGTCGAAGAACCATGGGGTGATGTTTGCAAGATCGGGTGCACAAGCAATGATTGTCTTAAGATGCATTTAGTGGGAAAGAAACACCAAAAGAGCTTACGATTACAACCCCATTAATTAATAATTTCTCCACTATTGCTGATCTCAGTGCTATCCCTCACCCCCTTTAGCTCTTTCTGGTTGTATTATATTTATCTAGTTGTCTGTTTTAAAAACAATATTAGAAGTGTAGTAGTATGGTACATTGGTGGGACTATGTTAAGAGAATGCATTTTGCATATAAGCTATTCTGTGGACATTAGGATGTAATAGTTATTAAGGGCTTTGCCCAACAATAGCATGCTTCTTGCTGTGTTTATAAAGTTTGTTTAAGATTAGGACCGGATTATTATTAGCAATAAACTAATCGCATTTGTTCACAAATCATGTGCTATTTCAATAACTAAAAATCTTGTGCAGCACTCTCATACTAAGCATATTGATGCACGACATCATTTTATAAGAGATCATGTTGAAAAAGGTGATGTTTCTATTTCTTTTATCTCTACTACTTATCAATTAGTTGATATTTTCACTAAGCCTTGAAGTGAAGAACGATTCAATTTGTTCGACTGGAGTTGGGGATGCTAAATAATCTTCGTAGAGGGAGTAAAGGCACAATCTACATATCTTATTTTTTATTGTGAGTGACCGAGGGGCACGCTACACAGTATGTCAAGGCCTTGACCCTTATGTCACGTCCTTGATATACATCGTCAATAAATAAATATTGGAACAGCATATTTGGTGAAAATTCTGTAAATATCTTTTAAAATATCTTTTTAAATTATATTTTAAATATAACCGATTACAATTAATCTCCATATTTGTCTTAAAACATTAGAATTTCCTAAAACATTATGTATACCTATACATTTGGGTAATTTTTGTACCACTTTAGACACGAACATACGAAATTGTTCATGGTGGTATAAGAGATATATACAAAATTGTACCACTTTTGACACGGTGGTACAAAACCCTCCTGTTTTGTACCACTCTCGAAACATGGTGTTACCCTTTTCAATTTCGTCTTTGCTTGTGAAAGAAGTGGAGGGGGGAGGGACTGAATTTGTTTTTCCTACTTGCCCAAGTTTGAAACTATGTTTTTCTGGTATTTGTACTTTGGAAATTTATTTGGGTGATTTTTTCACTTTAGACACGAACATACGAAATTGTTTAGGGTGGTAAAAGAGAATGGTTATTTGTTGTTTGAACATGTTTCGGTGGTATAGCTTTTGGTCATGAACTGTACCATTGGAATCTTAGTTTCATGTATTGATAATTGAGGTGGTTACAGTGTACATTTTCATCATATGCCGGGTGAGAGAGAGCAGATGTTTTCAATTCAATATTGGATCTGTTTATGTGTCCTGAGCATTTGCACATTATACACACTAATAGGTTTGTTTGATCAATACTATATGGTAAACTACACTCTGTTTGTGTGCGTTGTTCCGAACGGCGAAACATATCATTATGCGCAACCTGAACACAAAGTTAACAAATCATAATCTACAAGTTTGAAAAAGAAATGTCATTAATACAGATCATATGCATTACACAAGACCGGTGAGTAGACCACGTAGTATTTCATAAAATACGCTTATTTCCCTAATGCATTTACAAGTCATACAAGATATTGTACTTTCCGCATCCTCGTAGTAAAGAGGATCCCATGGGTTTAAGTTCTTCTTATGCTGTAGTTTTTGTTTGCAGAATATTTTCGGTTGTGGCATATAATGTACAATCATATGATTGTGCATCCAATTTGAAATCGCCATCTCACGTAACTTCCTTCTGCACTAGACTATCCCTGCAGATCCGATGCTGTTAATAGTGTTCTCCAAAAGCTTAACACCCCTTTCTTCTTCTCCGGTGTATATGTATATGAGGCTTACTACATATGCTGCCACTGAATTCTGCAACTCCGTTGCTCTTTCCAACATCGTCAAACCTTCGTCTACCACCAGGGTGTTGAAGTATTGTCGCTACGGTAAAGAGAAATGCTAAAATAGTGACTAGAAGTCTACAACATAAATTCTAACGAATAAAATTCACAATAAATGAGAAAGAAGACGTACAAATCCAAACTCAAGCAGAGCTTCAGGATGTTCATTCTCCACGCACTTCATGAAGAACTTCTCCGCCGCTTGTCGGTGTGGCCACGATATTCGTGCTTTAATCCAACGGAGGTGAATTTGTTGAAGGACCCCTTTTTCTTCGGCTATCCGTCGTAGTCTTTTACAACTATTATCAAGTTATACGACAGAAATTAGATTATTACATTCTCTGTGTATGTGATGAGAAACAGAGTGCATGTTGCAAGTATAAGCCTACCTTAATTTGCACCGAAATAAATCAGCAGGAGATGACTTAGCAACGAAACTTAGAATGGTCGCCAACACTTCTGACGGAAGGATGTCAACCATACATGTTGTAAATTTTCGCCTTTTCACTTCTACTTCCATTTTTGATTTTTTTAGACAGGAAGATCACTATGTTCGAATAGAAGGAAGTTAATATTTTTGCAAAAAGTGTTTGACACATAAATAGACTTCAAAGTGACGGTTCACCTTCATGCATGGGAGTGGATGTAGTGGTTTGGGAGTTGTGATGATGATGGTGGATAATTGAATTAGTGGGGAGATTTATAAACCGGCGAGGATTTCTTGGAAATTGTCAATTAGAAGTTACGCATGCATATATTAATTAATGGTACATATCTTACGCAATAAAAATACCAATAAATGTACCACTATACCAAGATTTCTAGATGGACAGGGTAAGTTATTAATATATCTAGCACATAATTTAAATGGAAGAATTTGTCCTATAAAAACGGAAATATTGAATGAATAGATCGCAAATTATGAGATTTTACTATTTCTTTTTCTTCTTTTTCCTTGTGGGAAGATATTGATAACGGGGAAAATGGTTTCATCATTTGCGAATACAAATTTGTTTTGTGCTTGTACCCCAAAAAATCATTTTGGCTCGAATCATTAACAGAAAGAATCAAATGATCCTGGTGATACATTCGAGGAATGAAACGTATTACAATTAGTTAACTATATTTCTTGTCACCCGAATTTTCCAACAAAATCGCTTTATTTAAACTCTGATCATATGACAATGAACCACTGGAAAAAGAAATGGGTTATACCTCTTTAGAACGGTACAAATGACAATGAATACTAATAACTGTTACTAATAACTAAGTCGTCATAGTACACTAGAACCTTAGTGATTTGTAATTCAGGACGTCCGGATATTTACGATGAACGTGGAGCACTGTTGGGAACTCTTCAACGGCAGTGAGCGGTTCAGTACCATTTTATGCCGTAACACCTACATGTACCAACAATAGAGTTCTCTTAGTGACTAAATCTTATTCCTTCAATTCTGTCTTTGAATCAATGTAGGTTGTTAAACCATTTTACCAATCAAACGTGTCAAGTTTGAGGTACGCCTTGTTATTTGATCCAGGGTACCACTAAGACAACATACATACCACTGTATTCAAGGTGGTATAAATCCACTTATAGAATGAACCACTATAAAAGGAATTGGATTATTAATAACCAGGGTGGTACAAATACCTGCAGCGTAGGAGAACGTTTACATCACCCAACTAGTCAAGTTACTAATAACTAATTACTAGTCAAGTTTCTAATAACTAAGTCATCATGGTACACTTGGGTGATTTGTAATATTTTGTAATTCCAGACGTCCGGATATTTACGAAGTACACTTGGGTGATTTGTAATGATTGTAATTCAGGACGTTCGGATATTTACGATCACCGTATAGCACTGTTGTTGGGAACTTTCAACGGAAATGAGCGGGTTCAATCCCATTTTTTGGCGTTACACCTACATGTACCAACAGTAGAGTTCTCTTAGTGACTAAATCTTATTCCTTCAATTCTATCTTAGAATCAATGTAGGTTGTTAAACCATTTTACCAATCAAACATGTCATACGCCTTGTTATTTGATCCAGGGTACCACTAAGATAACTTAGGTACCACTGAAGTCGAGGTGGTACAAATACACTTACAGAATGAACCACTAAAAAAGGAAATGGATTATTAATAACCAGGGTACCTGCGGCGTAGGAGAACGTTTTGCGTCGTAGGAGAACGTTTACATCACCCAACTAGTCAAGTTACTAATAACATTTTACTAGTCAAGTTACTAACAACTAATTCGTCATAGTACACTAGAATCTTAGTGATTTGTAATTCAGGGTACCACTAAGACAACTTAGGTACCACTGTAGTCTAGTGTCAATAGGTAGGTATCTTTGAAGATTCTGCCAAAGCCTTGGGTTTGAAAACAGTTAGTGTCTTAATTCACTTTCAATGTAATATCTTCAATAGGTAGGTATCTTTGAAAATTCTGCCAAAGCCTTGGGTCTGAAAACACTTAGTGTCTTCATTTACGTTCAATGTAATATCTTCCACGATCTAATCAACAAAATTAACATAAATTATGGATCCAAATACTCCTAAAATACCAAAGCGCCAAACAAAACGCTAACACAAAAAAAAAAAAACAACCAAAAAATTACCCAATTATCCTACATCATGAAAATTGTCTTCAAACTCCCCCTAATCACCCACTAAACTTAACCTTTACCTTAAACTTAAACATATTGTGTAGATTACACAACTAAACATAAACAAACCAAGCTAAGCCCAAGGATCGTAAAACTGGTAGGACTGGGCCGCCTGTAAGCATCTGAATCGACTGAGCCGCTGTCGTCATCATAAGCGGGATACTCACCTCCACCATCATCAGAGCCAGAAGACCAGCGCCCTCCATGACCAGTTTCAGAATCATCTTCTTCATCATCTTCAGCAGCTGCACCCCCATCCTCATCCCCATGTTCATCATCTTCATCTTCATCTTCTGCATCTTCGTCATCCTCATCATCTTCATCGTCGTCGTCCTCATCATCTTCATCCTCATCATCAGCATTCCCCTCTTGATTCTGGTCCTCCATCCCCTCATCACCATTACCATCATCAGCACCATAAACACCCATAGCACTACCCTTGTCCTCCTCAATAATCCTCTCAACAAGTTGGTCATTTCCAACAGCCGTGTCATTTCCGGCATAACCTGGCATTGAACGGATTGCGTGAATTTCCTTCTGAAGGCATGCAATTCGCTGTTCCCGAAGCTGGTGCAAACGGGCCGACAAAACCCTCGCTTCTTCTAGCTTTGCCGTATGTAATGCTCTAATCTTAGCTACTTCTTCTATCTTTATCTTCTCCTCTACATTGATTTCGTCCAACTCTGAGTACAACTTTTCAAGATGCCTTTTACCTCAGTCACATCCCAGTCAGCCATGGTAGCTTCTCTGACAACCAGAGACAAAATTGAAAGGGTAAATCCATGTTTCTAAATTGGTACAAAACATGGGGTTTTCGTACCATCATGACTAAAGTGGTACAATAATCTCATCCATTTATTGTACCACTATGAACAATTTCATATCATTGTGACTTTAGTGGTACAAAAATCGCCCAAATAAATTTACAAAAATCATAAACCCAACATTAATGGTTTAAAAATTGGGCAGAAAGGAAAAACAAATATTTCAGTCCCTTCCCCCTCCACTTCTTTGACAGGCAAAGACAAAATTGAAAGGGTAAATCCATGTTTCTAAAGTGGTACAAAGCAGCGGGTTTCTGTACCTCTGTGATTAAAGTAGTACAATTTCATCATTAATATCATGTACCACCCTGAACAATGTCACTGCATGGTTACTATAGTGGTACAAAAAGCCCCCACATAAATTTCAAAAATTCATAAACCCGAAATAATTAGTTTCAAATTTGGGCAAAACGGGATAACAAATAATTCAATCCCTTCCCCCTCCGCTTCTATGACAGCCAAAGACAAAATTGAAAGGTTAAACCCATGTTTCTAAAGTGTTACAAAACAGGGGATTTCTGTACCACCGTGAGAAAAGTGGTACAATTTAATCATCCAATTCTTTTACCGCCTTGATCAATTTTGTATAATCGTAACTAAAGTGGTACCACATGCAGAACGATATCAAAAACACCAACAAAAAGGAAACTACCAATAAAACCACAAAGTATAAAAAACAAATAACACATTATTACAGAGAAAAAGCAGGAAACATAATTAAAGAGTCCCAAACCAGTAAACGACTATTAAGAAATAGGAACATACCTTGGAGCAGAATTCACTTAGCGTGGTTTTTTTGAGGTTTTTTAGACGGTTTTAAAGGGGAATGAACAGGTGTTTTACTCTTCGAACGAAGTATGGAAGTAAAATGAATACGGTGATGAACTATGGAATTAATGGTTTCAATTCTCGAGGGGAAGTAATGATGGCGTTTCATATAAGAATTTTAATTATACAATTTCACTGTTGTATTTTTTTAATTGGGAAACCTTACCAATTCCTAATTGTATCAATATGGGTGTGGTAGTTATGTGTAATCCCCGGAAGTGCCTCGATGATGTTTGAAAATCCCAATTAAACATTACATCAAGGATCATAATGAAAGTCGTAATTAAACATTCAATCAACTAGCTCATGATTTTTAGCTAATGGTGTTAGGTTGTTGGTGTAACATCAATCAACTAGCTATTACCCATACGCTATCAACCTTTGCACAAATAGAACTTTTCAGCGACTCAGAAAAATGGGAAAAAGGATTCCCCAAAAATGGTACAAGTGAAGGAGTAAAAGTGGGACCAACCAACACATATTCAACCCCATCGTACTGAAAAAATCGGAAATAAAACCCTACAAACCCTCCAAACCCTAAACCCTAAACCCTTCAAACCCTAATGGCTAAACCCTTACATATGATCAAACGCTGCAGGATTAAATTTTTATGCAAATCTAGTAATGTAACTACTTTTTGGAAATTTTAGTCCGCCTTCTATCTAAATTATACATTTAATAATTGACATTATTTCGCTTAAATAAAAGCTTTTTAGTTGATTGAAGTTGGGTATGTGGTAGTTGAAGTAGTGAACCGTTCATGTATTACTATCTACTTCAGCATCGAAAACCAAATGTTACTGTTCTTCTCGCAATGATCGTAGTGTGCCATTCATTGCTCCTTTGGATGATTACATTGCGCAAGTTGATCGAAGTTCCGATGCTCCAGTCATTGCTCCTGTAGTTGTTTATATTGTCCAATTTAAAATCATGTAACGGTATTAGACAATTATTGACTCGTTCATAGTTGAACTAAGCACCGTTGTTGGTTACTTTCCCTCGTCGTCATCTAACGTGGTTAGATTTATCTAATCTACTAGATCAGAATATACTTTTAATTTTTTCACAGTGCACTAGTGTGGTACATTTTCTTTGATTTAAGGATGCATAATAGAAAAGTAGAGCAATTAATTAAATATGGAGAAAATATTAAAAAAAAATATGTTTCAAGATGAAATTGCATTTTCATGGAAATTA